TGCTATCAACACAATAAGCGCTGCATTTGTATCTTGTGGTAAGTCACCTGTCTCAAAAAAATCAAGCACAAATTTCATCACCGACTCACCCACTATATCCCAACATTCTTGGTAGAATACGGGTTGGAAACCATCAGGGCCTGGTGCTTTGAATCTGCCCATGCTTTTCACCGCCATCACTACTTCCGCCGGTGTAAACACTTTATTCAGGCCCATATTCTCACTTTGATCCAGCCGCAGGAATCCATCCCTGGGTAAGGTGTCCACAACTGGTTCCACATCTGCCATAGAGTATAGGCGCTTACAGTACTCAATTGCTAAATTCTCCAGCTCCGTAGCATTCGTGATCCAACTCCCTTCCTCATTTTTCAACATGTCAATCCGGTTCCTCTTCCTCCGAATTATAGTTGAAGTATGAAAAAAGCTCGTACTCCGATCCCCTAAGACCACCCATTTTTCTCGAGATTTCTGATACCACAACATCTCCTCTTGCTCAAGCACCACTTCAAATTCTTTGAGTAAGTCCTCCTCCCGTTTAAGCAGATCATCCGTTGGATTATGTTCAAGTAGGTCTTGGACTAGTTTAATCTCCACCATGAGCTTTTCTTTTCTTTCTTGAACGTTACCAAAAACTTCTTTATTCCATTTTTTCAACGTTCTTTGTAACTGATCCAGGGCAGCCGGCGTTGTCAACTCCTTCTTCCAAGATGACAACAATAGCTCCTTAAAACCATCATGACTTAACCAAGCAGCTTCAAATCGAAACGGTCTCCTCTTCGGATTGTTCTCCACTACCGGAGCGAGCTGGATATATAATGGAGCGTGATCCGACGATAAAAACGGAAGGTGTGTTACCGTAGCTTCCTGCCACTGAAGCCTAGCATGAGGACAACACAACACTCTATCCAATCTCTTTGCCACAAAAAAATTTTCCACTCGTCCTCTTCTCCAAGTGTACTTATTCCCTCGAAAGCCCATATCGATAAGTGATTGATTATTGATCCAATCTCCAAACGCCAATGAGTCAGGTGAGAGCTGACCATTACCTCCAGTTCTCTCATCCAATCTAACAATGGTATTAAAGTCACCACCCACCACAAGAGGCCCAACGACACCGCTAATTACTTCACTTCATTGCTTAAATAATTTTTTTTTGAATGTAAAATTATATTCAACCAAAAAACGTGTTACAATGAATGCGCCTGTTTTGCTGATGTTTTGAAATTACAACAGAGAGTTTTGCTTAAATAATTTTCGTATGAAGGTAAAAAAAATAATAATCCTTGCAAAATTTTCTTTACTTTTACAGTTTTTGATATTTTTCCCAATTACATATTGATTATTCCATTTTGCTAAATTGTTACACATTTATGTTAACTTCTACCATTTTATTTTAAAAGATCTAAATTTATATTAATATCTATACTATATAAAAGTCGAAGCTATAAGCTTCTCAAGCTGTCCACATAGGATTTTAAACCACCAATCGCAGTTGGACACTTCGTCAGTTAACATTTTTACACACCACGTTAATTAACATTTTTAAATTCTAATAATTTCTATACTTAAATATTAATAAAAAGAAAAAGAAAAATAATATATGGAAAAAAAGAAATATGTGAATGTTTGAAATAATAAAATATAGAAATAAGAAAAATGTAAAGTATAGATTTCAATATTATTATGCAGCGAATATATTTTTTATTTAGAAATTTTCTAATCAAAAAATGTAAAACTACATAAAGTAATTATGACGGTTTGCCCTAGACATTAAACTATAAATAATGAACTTCGACCACACAATTAGTATTCAGTTTTAAACGAATTTACTATTATGTGGCTTTGATTTTTTTTTTCTCATCTTACATATTTTGTTTTATATTTTTCTATGAACTATAAACAAATATTGTTTAATTTTGCTGATTTTAGACTGTTTGATTTATATTTCAGGTTACACTAATGAATCGAGTCTAGGTTCATTCCATTGTGACTTTTGATGCAATTACAAGGTATTATTGATCCTAAAATTTATGTAGCTTTCAAATTGTTTCCTTGTATGGATATTGTTAATTATATGTATGAATTTATGACTTTTATTTAAAAGTATTTATAGATAGGAAGAAATATGACAATATATTGAAGCAAGATGTTTATAAAAATTGTTATTATAATACATAAAATAGTTCATATTAGATTAGTCTCACAAATTTGATTATATTGTCATATTTTCTAAACGACCAATCACAATTAGTCATCGTTAATTAACATTATTTGACATCACGTTAATTAACATTTTTAAATTATAATATTTTATACAGTAAGATATGAAAAAGATATATATATATATATATATATATATGAAAAGAATAGAAATGTAAATGTTTAAAAAACATATGGAAATAAAAAAAGCAATATATAGAAAAAAAGAAATGTAAATTTTTGAAAAAACAATATGTGGAATACATCAAACTTATATTCTTATTTTGTTAAGTTTCTTATTTTTCAACAAAAAAAATAATATTAACAAAAACTATATTCGATTAACCATAGATCTTTTCATTATAAATAATAACTGGAGGCATCCTATTCTATCACATTTTATAATTTGTATAATTTGAATCGTCGGTCACAGTTAGGGTTGGTTATTACTCTTTATTAGGGATAACAATAGCCCACATTGGAAGTTGAATAGAATCTTAAGTGGTACGTATATATATAAGATATGGACCTCTTCACTCATACCCAATTGGTTTTGAGTTCGAAGCCCAAAGTCTAATATGGTATCAGAGCCCGATCCACACATGTTCAACGAAATCCACATCGGCCTGACCAAATAATTGGTCCGCCGATCCATGCCCAAACATACCGAGATCAATGGGTAAAAGAGCCATCATCTCGAACGGGCGTATAAGAGATAACAATATCCACACTGGAAGTTGAGCATGATCTTAAGTGTTATATATAAGATATGGGCCTCTCCAATCATATCCAAGTGATTTTGAGTTGGAAGCTCACAGTCTAATACTCTTAATGGCGCATATTATATTTTTTTCATCGCTTTTGCCACTTGTAGCAATATTTGGACTTCTATTTTTTTTTCTCATACTCACAATTTAATATAGTTATCTTTGCTTCTGTCGCTCATAAATCATAACCATACTTTTATACTAAAATGTTAATTTATATATTATGATTTTTTTTTTCTCATCATCGATTGTTACGATCGTTTTGTGTGTGTGTGATTCACTCGGCATTACATCCACACCTAATACCGAGTGAATCACACATTAGGTGTCTGCATCACCACCTAATATATCTCATAGAGATCAACAACTTTATTACTTGCATGTCTGCACCACCACCTAATATATTATGCTTCTGTTTGTCATATTGTTTGTCATTTGAGACTGAGAGTAATTTTATTGTTTTGGTAAGAGTAGAACCGAAAGAGTCTGGCTAAGTTTGTGAATGGTAGATGTGCTAATGGAATAGAGAATGAAATAAAGGAAATGAGTGCTTGCAAAAAGATAGAAAGAGTGATAGCTCTCTGGAAAAAATTGTGAAGACGGAAATTAATATACATATTGAAAAGAATGTGAAAAAAATATGAATTGTTATAAATAAAGTGTAGATAAGCTTATGAGTACACTTCTGTATAGAATCTTATATTTTGAAGAGCTACACTAACCAATACAGTGAAGATAGACAAAGAACAATAGTGAATTTGCGTATACCAAAATGAGAAAGTCGTCGAAGTTAGTCCCATACAACAATAAATCTAGGAAAGTGGTGGTTCCGGTGAGAGTTGAGGAACATATATGTAAGACCGTGCAAGGAAGCTCTCTTGGGAAAAGTGTCTAAGCCAATATTGTGAAAGATATCTATCGCTAATGAGATAACTTATTGCGTGGTTCTTTTTTGAAACTTAGGTTGTATATTTCTTCAGTTGAATGATATCTAACCAAGAAAAAGGTATGAAGACTTGTGTTGAAATTATGGAAAAAGTTGTTCTTCTTAGAGTAGCAATTTCAATCAAAAACATGAATTAGTAATCAAAAACATGAATTAGTAAGACGTAAGAAAGATAATAAATTTAATTGATGAGATCAGTTTCCTTACATTATGAACAATTGACGTCAGAATTTAGATAACAAAGAGGGTTGATCTCTATGTAAATATATGAAAGAGAAAGAGAAAAACGCGGTTGACACCAGAAGACAAACTTGGATTATCAAATATGGAAGAAAGTGAGAAAACAGTTATGACATGACCTCTTTATGGCAACGTTTTGTTCATATGTAACTGAAACTTTATGGCGAGGTTTCTCATTGTGTTGGGATGAGCCATTTTTGTATAATAGATGCTCAGATGATCTTTTTAGGATGAATGAGATCATTGTCAAAATATTATAATTGCTTTACTAATAGCAAATATTTAATATATAGTATAAAACAAGTAAGAGATAATGACACATCATATTTGTAATATAGTTTATACCAAATTTTATCCAATAAACTTTTTTTTCTTATTAAAACAAAATTTTAAATAACGTAAATGATACTATAAAATATAAATAAGAATATTTATGTTAAAAAAGAATAAATAATAAACATTATAGTATTTTTGTATTAGTAATGTCAATGTATAGCTACTTAAATAAATACTAAAACCAAAAATATATTTAATCAATCGATAACTACAAACCTCCGCGTAGCGAGGGTTAATAACCTAGTAGTATATATAAATAAATAATGTAATTACTCTTCTTATGACCACTGATATAAGAGATGTGAAATTAGATATTTCAATTAGTTTTTAAGTCGTGTTGAAAAGTTAGGGAAAAAATTGAAAAATCAACGAGTTATTACGTCACACGAATAAAGAAATAAAACAGATTTTAATTCCTCTTTTTATTTTTTGGACTTGTAACTTGGAAACCCTTTGTTTCGTTTTCTTTCCTCGATCTTCTTCTTCTTCTTCTTCTTCTTCTTCTTCCCCAATCTTCTCTTATTTGGTGAGCTTTTTAGATCCTCGTTTCTGGTTCTCTTTTGCTCATCGTTTGTTTCCGAGGTTTTAAAACTCCTTAAATTCCTCGATTGAAGATACCTGAAAATCGTGTTATTCTAGGTCCGCCGCTGTTTGGATCTGCAATTTCCCTTCGAATTTGAGATATTTTTGATTCAAATTCGTCTGAGGAGCGAAGATGAGCGCGAAAAAGCTTGAAGGTTCGTCGGCTCCGGCGAATCGACGGGATCCGTACGAGGTTCTTTGTGTATCAAAGGACGCTAATGATCAAGAAATCAAATCCGCTTACAGAAAATTAGCTCTCAAGTAAGCCTAATATCTTAGGGTTTCTGGAATTGGTCCTATTTGAATTGTATACTGTGTCTATGAATTCCATTGATATGTGAAGAATCTTCTGTGTCATGCTTTTGACTTTGTTTAAGATCCTTATTGTATCCTAATGATGCCTTTACATTATTGGATCCAAAACAATTGTTGATAGGTATCATCCGGATAAGAATGCGAACAATCCTGATGCTTCTGAGCTTTTCAAGGAAGTTGCATTTTCCTATAGCATTTTGTCTGACCCTGAAAAGAGAAGGCACTATGACAATGCAGGGTTTGAGGTGATTGATACTTGTTTATTGTCGATATTCGTAGAATTAATAGGAAGAGTGTTTTCGAGCTTGTCGGTCTTCGATAGGAATAAAGTTGTTTCACATCTAATGTTGCCTCAAATAAGTGTGTCTGTTCTATTCTTACACTCTATCCAATCTCAATACACATTCTTTCATGATATTAGGCACTCGATGCTGATGGAATGGACATGGAAATTGACTTGTCAAACCTCGGAACTGTAAATACCATGTTTGCAGCGTTATTCAGGTGCAGTTGGTTACCGGTATTTTTTCCGGAGCTCTTAAGAAATCAATTTGTTTTAAATCTTTTATTAACCTTTTTGTTATCATTCAGCAAACTAGGTGTTCCTATCAAGACTACTGTATCTGCCAATGTTCTTGAAGAGGCTATGAATGGAACTGTTACAGTTAGGCCCCTTCCTATTGGAACATCAGTTAGTGGGAAGGTGTGAACTCAGATTACTAAACTATCTTCTTACCTTATTTTGTTATGTATATCGAATTGAAGTTATCTAATTTCTCATATCAGGTTGAGAAGCAATGCGCCCATTTTTTTGGAGTTACTATAAGTGAACAACAAGCTGAATCAGGGGTTGTTGTTAGAGTTACTTCAACAGCACAAAGTAAATTTAAGGTATGCTCGGAATGCTATTACTGGCCATCCTGATAATGTTCGGTATATTCAATGCATGCTCCTTGTCTTTTGTGACTAACTTGTGAGTTGTTTCACCTAATTAACTTCTAAATTTGTCCATCTGCAGTTACTTTATTTTGAGCAAGATTCAAGTGGCGGCTATGGATTGGCCTTACAGGTATAAATTATTTCTCTTTGTATTAAAAGAATATTGGTCTTAGTTTTATACCATTACTGAACTGTCTTTTGACAAGAAAACTTCCCGCTAATTTTGAAAAAGCTTTTCCATTTTTCTCATGGTGATTACATGACAGCATTAAGCGTCTCTGTTATTTCAGGAAGAGAGTGAGAAAACAGGCAAGGTGACATCAGCTGGCATGTATTTCTTACATTTTCAAGTGTATAGAATGGATTCGACTGTCAATGCGGTATGCAAGTTCTGAGCTTTTGTCCGTTCATAATAAGCTGACAACCTAGAATATGCAGAGGCATTAAAGCAATCCACATTGCGGTTATTGTACAGTTGGCTGCAGCCAAGGACCCTGAATCTGCTTTCTTCAAGCGATTGGAAGGTCTTCAACCTTGTGAGGTTTCGGAACTGAAAGCTGGCACGCATATATTTGCAGTTTATGGTATGAATTGTTATTCTGTTTTTGCAATAGTGTTTCTGAGATCTTAGTTTAACTGGTGTCTAGTAACTTTTTAGGTGATAACTTCTTTAAGACTGCATCCTACACAATTGAGGCACTCTGTGCCAAGACCTATGAGGATACAACAGAGAAGTTGAAGGAGATTGAAGCTCAAATCTTAAGAAAGAGAAACGAGTTGCGACAGTTTGAAACAGAGTATCGGAAAGTAAGTTTCTACTGTCAAGAACTCGGTCAGTATTTAGGGAGTCATGTAACCTGATCACTTTCGATATTCTTTTGCAAGGCTTTGGCGCGGTTTCAAGAAGTTACCAACAGATATACCCAGGAGAAGCAAACTGTGCGTTCTTTTCTCTTTATTACAACGTATCCCTTATTTTGATTAACACACAATGGTTCCTAAGAAGACATGCTGTGCACATGGACCACATAGGAGCTCTTGCAGATGTTTTCTGACATAGTTTTGATCATTCTAAACGTGTTTGGTTTGGGTATATTGGGTGATGGTGCAGGTGGATGAACTGCTAAAGCAACGGGATACAATCCATTCGACATTTTCTGTCGTGAAGACACCAAGCGGCAACAACTTGAGCAATGGAAGTAGCAGCAAAGCTCAGGGAGAGGAATCAAAAGGTGATGGGGATAGTGCGGGAGAAGAAGGTGGAACAGAGAGTCGAGACAAATCCAAGAGGAAATGGTTCAACTTGAACCTAAAAGGATCTGATAAGAAGCTTGGTTGACCAGAACACGGATTTGTTGCGGGTCATTGGTATTTTGTTCATTCGTTAGACAGAACTGACTCGGTGGCTGTTTGTCACCGGGTGCTCTATGTATGCATATATAATCATGGGAATGGTTCGAGAGAGATGCAAAAGCTCTTTAATGGATGGAAGGATTTGTATTGATAGGAGTGTTTTGATATGTATGCTTATGCTTCATTGATTCATTGTTTGTTATCTTTATATTAAACAGAATTGTCATTGTGATGGTGGATTGATGATATATTCTATTCAGATTCAAAATTATAATGCCAGACTTGCTCCAATCCAGATGTATTTTTTTTTTCACTAAGTTAAAACTAATAAATTAGTAACTAGTAGTATATTCTATTTATTTGCATTATCATTTGAATATTTGATGTTACAAAATTTGTTTTCATAAAATAACTTTTGAGATCTTCTGGTTTACAAGAAATTTGGAATCTTATTATATAAAATAACTTTTGAGATCTTCATGACACGTTTCAGTTAATTGATAATATTTTAATGTGGTTTAATATTATTCAGTATTGTAATTTAAATAGCTCTATCCTTTTCTTTCTTGAAAAAGACCAAAAAAAAAAAGAGAAATTGTCAAAAATGCCCATTTTTCAATACCCATTTTCAAAAATGCCCACTTTGAGAGTCTATTTTTAAGTTTGCCCTCTTTTAGTTTTTAATGACCATTTTACCTTTATTTGAAACAAAATTAGGTCACAAAATACAAAATATTTTTTGGCGGGAAAAGTGATCTCGCAATTTTCCCGCCAAAACACTTGTAAAAACCTTTAAAATACCTTGTAAAATTTTCCCGTAAAAATTTTTTCCGCCAAAAAATTTTTTTTGCGGGAAAAGTGATTCCGCAAAATTTTTGGCGAAATTTTTTTGGCGGGAAATTTTGGCGGGAAAATTTTACAAGGTATTTTAAAGGTTTTACGGAGTATTTATAAGTGTTTTGTAAGGTTTTACAATGTATTTTAAAAGGTTTTACAAGGTACTTATAAGGTTTTATAAGGTATTTATAACTTGTAAAACCTTATAAAAAACTTGTAAAACCTTATAACTTGTAAAACCTTATAAAATAGCTTCTAAAATCTTATAATATCTTATAAATACCTTATAAATACGTTGTAAAACCTTTTAAAATATATTGTAAAACATTATAAATACCTTGTAAAAAACCTTTAAAATACCTTGTAAATTTTTCCCACCAAAAATTTAACGCCAAAAAAATTGCGGAATCACTTTGGGAAAAATTTTTGGCAGAAAAAATTTTTACGGGAAAATTTTACAAGGTATTTTAAAGGTTTTACAAGTTTTTACAAGTGTTTTGGCGGGAAAAATTGCGGGATCACTTATCCGCCAAAAAATATTTTGTATTTTGTGGACCTAATTTTGTTATATTTCCTTATATATTTGTGATATCTTTTATTAAAAGAAGGGTAATTTAGTCATTTTGTACATAAAAAGAGGTATTTTTAAAAATGGATAGCCAAATGAGGCATTTTTGAAAAGGGATATTGAAAAAGGGGCATTTTTTTGAGTCTCCCAAAAAAAAATTAGTAAAACACATATCAACACAATATCAATATACGTGTCTGTATTAGAAAGGAAAAAAAAAAGAGAGACATTATTAGCTTAAAATAAGGATAACTAAAGTTCAATATAATTCATAATATATTGATTTTTAAAATAGAGACCCTCTTAAATATGTTATTTTGTATATTTTTCTGAATAGACTAACAACTGGTTTCCCATCACTAACCAGCTAACTTTGTTTTTCTTTTGCTAAAATAAGCTACGAAATAACATTTTTCTTAGAAATGGTTTAATCATGTTTTAGGGGATAATTGCTATATTAAGATTTATCAAATTTGACAATATTATTAATAATGGTGATTATTTTGCAAATATTTTGGTGATTAACAATTTAATATTACTAGATTTTTGTATAAATGTTAATAATTAATTTTTAAATATATATATACACTTTATTCAGACAAAAAGGATAAATAACTATATTTACTAACTAAAAATATTCTCTATTTTTTTCTAAAGAAGCTTTGGGTACCATTTTCTTTCAATAAAATTTTAATTTAAATTTGTTTTAAAAATAAATAACCCGTCTAGGACGGGTCCTAATCTAGTTTTACAACAAAAGTCGAATCAGAATCCATAAGAGAGAAGCAAATCGGTAGTTGCTCTTGGTTGAATATATTATCCTAGGGCTAGGTTTGAATTTTCCTTGTTTTTTTTGGTAAGTAGGTTTGAATTTTCCTTGTAAAGAGAAGAAAAGTGAGACTATGAGTGCGAAAAAGGTGGATGGTTTGTCTGCTCCGGCGATTCGACGGGACCCGTACAAGGTACTTTCTGTACCAAAGGACGCAAACGATCAGGAAATCAACTCAGCTTACAGAAACTTATCTCTCAAGTAAGCTTCAAATTTTGTTTTTGTTTATTTCTAAGCTTAGGGTTGCTGCTGGTTTGATATTATTGGCAGTTTCTATCTGGATTTTGTTAATTCCATGTTTTGATGACTTCACTTAAGCCATGTGTTAGTCTAGACAATATAAGCCTTGAAATTAGGGAACCCTAGGTGGTGGTTCGTAGCAGTCTCAACGACTATAGTTAAGTGGTTTAGCAAGAAGTTTACGTAGAAGGAGTTGTGGATCCTGGATTGGTCTAGGATCTTGGTTTTGGAATTGGTCGAGAATAAGAGACTTTATTCGTTAATATGTGGTGTTGTTCTTTGGTGAATATATACGAATTCAAAAGGTTTTTAGGGTTACAACTATCTGGATGGTGCTTTATATTAAACCTTAATTTATTGGGTTGAAACAATGTGCACAATGTATAAGCTTCAAAAAAAAAAAAATGTAGAGGTATCATCCGGACACGAATGAGGACAATCTTGAAGCTTCTGATCTTTACAAGGAAGTTGCATTTTCCTATAGCATTTTGTCTAAACCCAAAAAAGAGAAGGCAATATGACTATGCAGGATTTAAGGTTATACTTTCTGCTTAGTGTCACTTAGCTTGTCAAGTACTTTATCTCTTTCTCAACATTCATTCTTGTTAGCTATAATAAGATTTGTTTCATGATATAAGACCATTGATTCTAATCAAATAGACATGGAATATGACTTGTCAAACCACGGAACCATATCTATCGTGCTTGCAGCATTATTCAGGCATAGTTATTAACATTTTTTCCCTTGTTAACTTCAGGAATTAATCTGTTTTTGTATTAAAAGTTTCATTCACATTAAAATTGTCAACATTCAGCAACCTAGGTGTTCCCATTAAAACTAGTGTAAATGCCAATGTTCTTGAAGAAGCTAGGAATGGAAATTTTACACTTAAGCCTCTTCCGATTGGTACATCAGTTAGTGGGAAGGTGAGATTCAGATTACGCCACTTTCTTCTTACCTTTATTTTCTTGTGTATTGGAACAGAAGTTATCTAATATCTCATATCAGGTAGACAAGCAACACGCTGATTTTTTTCGAGTTACGATAAGTGAAGAACAAGCTAAATCAGGGGTTGTTGTAAGAGTAACATCAACAGAACAAAGTAAATTTAAGGTATGCTCGGATCGGAATGCGCTTTTGTTACTAACTTATAAGTTGTTTTCACCTATGACTAACTTCGAAATCTTTCTATTTTCAGTTACTTTATTTTGAGCAAGATTCAAATGGCGGCTATGGATTAGCCTTACAGGTACAAAAGAGTACTCTCTTAGTATTAAAAGAGTATTGTTCGTAGCATCATGAGTCTTATATTTGTCATTGTAGGAAGAGAGTGAAATAACATGCAAAGTAACATCAGCTGGCATGTATTTCTTGCATTTTCAAGTATACCGAATCCGAATGGTTTCGACACTCAATCCGGTATGCAAGTGCTGATCATAATATACCTAACATCTGCAGTCTATGGTATGAATTATTTATCTTTTTTTTGCAATAGCATGAACTTTTCTTAGACCTTAGTTTAATTGGTCTCTAGTTACTTTTCAGGTGGTAACTTCTTTAAGAGTACATCCTACACAATTGAGGCACTATGTGCCAAGACTTATGAGGATACAATAGAGAAGTTGAAAGAGATTGAAGCTCAGGTTTTAACAAAGAGATTTGATTTGCCGCAATTTGAGACAGAGTACCAGCAGTTGGAGATAGAGTATCACAAAGTAATTTTCTACGATTGACCTCAGTCAGTAATTTGGGAGACATGGTAACCTAATAATTTGCTATATTCGTTTGCAGGCTTTGGCGCGTTTTGAAAAAGGGACCAAAAGATATTCGCAGGAGATGCAATATGTACGTTGGTGAATCTCATATCTTTTTGTAACATTTTAAAGTGTTTAATCTTGTGTTTTATGGATGATGGTGCAGGTGGATGAACTGCTAAAGCAACGGGATTCAATCCGTTCGTCTTTCTCTGTTGTGAAGACACCAAGCGGCAACAACTTGAGCAATGGAAGTAGCAGCAAAGCTCAGGGTGAGGAATCAAAAGGTGAGGGGGATAGTGTGGTAGAAGAAGGAGAACCAGAGAGTAAAAACAGATCCAAAAACAAATGGTTCAACTTCAACCTCGATGGATATGAAAATAAGAAGCTTGATTGACCAAAAGGTTGGTTTGTTCTTATGTTCATTGGAATGATCTAAGAGAAAGAAAGATCCATAAGCTCTTTTATTGGAGAAGGATTGTTGTGGTCATAAAAAGTTTTTTTTTTTTAATTTTGGTCCAATCTTATGATATAAACAACATTGATTCATTTGTAAGTTTCTTAAGTAGCCTATCCTTTTTGGGCCAAAGAGTAAAAAAAACAGAACCAAAAGAAAATGGTTCAACTTCAACTTCAATGGATATGATTATAGGAAGCTTGATTGACCAAAATGGTTCATATGTTCATTGGAATGATCTGAGAGAGATAAAGATCCTTAAGCTCTATTTGCAGAAGGATTGTTGTGGTCATAGGAAAGATTTTTTCAATTTGGATGTTTCAGCTCAAGATCCAATCTTATGATATAGCAACATTGATTTATTTGTGTCTTTAAAGTAGCCTATCATCCTCTTTGGGCCAAATGAAAAATTTAGAATCGGCCCCTTAACGAGAATAGTGGACAAGTTGAGAAAACCAGAAAAAAAAAAAAAAAACAATTTAAGACATTCGCCAACATTTTAAAATGAGTTGATTGTTTTATCATTTGGCAAAACATTAGAGTATTTGAATTGTGTTAGTGATGGATCATGAAACGTTCAATTCATTCAATAAAAATATGGAGAAATTATATTATATAACTTAAAGGAAAGTCGAAGCTAAATATGTTTTATATGATTCTCAAACTTTAGTCTTTATGCGTATGCCAGAAGTTACTTGCCTTTTTCTTATTGAAAGTATTTTTCAAAAGTGATTGTATTGTCAAATGACTAGATTTCAACTACCATCGTCAAAATGAAGTAAGGATGTCAAATTATATTAAAATCAACGCACAAAGTAAAATGATTATTGGGTTATGTTATAATTATTAATATCATAAGGTCGGCTATAAAATACGATAAACCTGTTTTGACTTTAAAAGCATTTTGATCAACAACAATGTGATCAAGTTTTATGTATTGCGGTTAGAGAGCGTTTAGTAGTTACAAAATATTTAAGAGATAGTAACAATTTATAATAATTGTGATTGGTAATATTTGATTGGTTACTATATCAAGAAGATAAACAATTTAATTATTGGTTAAAACCATAAAAGTTGAAGAAAACAAAGTATTTGAAAAACATCTCGTATTTTTGTATTATAAAACCCGAGACTTGGTAATTTTTTTCTTTAATTTTTATGTATTATAAACTCAAATCAGCGTCGTTTAATTTTGTCGGGTTATAGGTTCGAATGCGGTTTATTTTAGTTACGGAATAATAAACGCATGCAAATTTGTGGTTAAATCTGGTTTCTAAACCGTAATTAAATGGTTCAATAAGAACTATAGTTATTTGGATAAAAAATAAGATACATTTAGTTTATAGATTAAACCTTTTTATGGTAGTATATATTATTTAAAGAGAGAGAAAAAATTGTGTGGGAAAAATGAGAACCCTTTTGTTTTTAGAAAAGTTTATGCAGTAACTATAATTATAAAAATCATATGTTATCAAAAAAGTATTTTATAAGTGATAAAATCAGTCTGACATTCACACTTGTGACTTGTTTACCTCTTCATCTTACGCAAAACCTAAGAAACTTCTTTTTAAAAGTCTAAAGAAATATCAGCTTTCTATGGTTGCTTCCTCGATGAGAGGCATAAAATGTGGCTGCTTATTTTAACCAAAATTTTATGTGGCTGCTTATATCTGGAAATCACGGATCAATGGCACCATCTATGCAACGCAACTATTAATTTTTATATATATATATATATATATATATATATATATATATATATATGTACTTACAAATGCCAAAGCACATGCATCAAGGCTTTATCAGAGAACATTGCAGATATGTGTAGTAAAGTAAGACTTGGATATGATTAATATAACCCTTGTATATAGATCTATGATTGGAGTATTTGCATGACCAAAAAAAAAAACACAGTTTAATGATTTGTATTAGTATCTCTATTTAACATGCATTATGCCTAGTGTTAATAAACAAAATGGAGTATTTGCATAGAATTTTCTTAAAACAAAATTGTATTTTTCTAAGCTCATAAATATGTGTATGACCTCAGGTATAATTTTAATAAGATCAATTTATTTTCAACTTTTAAAAATTTACAGAATTTTATTATTCAGGTTAAATCAGTTCTGCTTTTCATGTCCATAGCGAATATTATAAATTTGCAACTTTCCTAGCGAATATTATTAAGTTTAGATGTATCATTTATGTGTGTGTGTTAATGCAACCACTTGACGTGTCCCACTTGGATTAATTTGTAACCTAAAGCCCTTCTACATTAAGAAAAGGAAAAATTATTGTAATTAAAGATTTAATTAGCTCGATTAGGTGTCACTTGGAGTTCATAATGGGACTTTGTGATGAATCATCACACGATTCACACCCCACCATCTTTGTCTAGCTTCTTAAAAATGCTTAGAAGATATCCGTTAAAGGAGATTTGGACTTGAAAAATCAAATATTTAATTTTAGTTTTTCTTCTTCTTTCGTATTCAGAAAATTGAAAAGTCGAGTCCTCCTGATGTGTGGGTTATAGACTAAATTAATCGCATTTGTGAACCAAAAGCTACATTATAATTTTATAATTAAGCCTTTTGTGGGAGCGACTTTGTTTTAAATTATTCGTTTATAAACCCTATTGGTTGAATTTCACTACTAATCAACATTTGGTGGGGCATAATTTGATCTTGGAGATCTTAAAATGATAATATATAACATCATTTCTATCAAAAATTGATAGACTTGACATGGGTACCTAAATGGTGCTAGACAAAAGCATTGAGAAATAGACAGCTGGTAGTTCTATTCGTCAAATAATAACACTTTTGCCGGGACATCATGTTGTATTTAAATTGGAAGAAGAGATTAGTAACTAAATAATCATTCTTAAAGTCGAGATTAATTATGAGATTAAACACCACTATTTTCAGATTGTCAAACTTATTGGCTATTGGTTGTCATCAATTTTGGTATATAAATTATTCCAAGAGTTGGGATGTCGCCACTTCTTTTGGAAAAATCTGCTTAACCCATTATTTGTTTTGATTCATGCTCGTCGTAATTCATGTGGTAAGAAATTTTCAAAAAATAGTTTGTAATTAGTATAGTGAAATTATGAAATCATTTCACAATTCTGTTGCTATTTGGTTTATCTACAAAACCATATATAATTTTTACTTAAATAAATTATAGTCACATAGTGACATAAAATTAAATACATAATCCAATTGGATTGCATTATCATTAGTACGTGGTTTTACCACCATCTAACAAGAAGAAAAAAAAAGGCAAAAACCAAAAAATATTTCATATACAATTTTATTATATCTTTTCACATGGACTATATCTTTTATATCAATCGAACTTAAATGGCCACTTGATTTACCAAAACATTGTCTAATATAAAAGAAGATAGCCAAAGCCTCACCAGTGTTATAAACTTAATACTCAGTGAAAATTGGCCAATACTTTAGCCTCATTTTCCTTTCATAAGTATATTATTTAGTCTATAGTGCCTAAGTTTCAGCCTAAAGTAGTTTTATTTTTAGGTCATATCCTAAAGTTGATCTAAAGAATGCAAAAGTTAAGTTATATAATCATAGGTATTATTATGTGGACAACAATTGCTGGTGAAACCAGTTCTCAATGGTCTAAGACTCAAGATTAGTAATCAGCCTTGTCTCCCATCCCAAGAAAATGCAAAGCTTGGTTACAAAAATCTGGAATTTTTGCAGTCCGTGTTTTACAAAGTGGGATTTTTTTTTTTGGGGCAAACGGGTTAGGGCATGATTATCAAGAGTTTCTTAACAATGACTCTTAGGAATAATGGCTCTTAACTAAGGCACCTTTCTTAGTATTTTACATGCTTTATCATTAATTTTTGATCTAAGATTTTGTTAAGAACTCTTTAATTCCTAACTTC